AAACTCCTGACCTCAAGTGATCCACCCACCTCAGCCTCCCAAAGTGCTGAAATTACAGGGGTGAGACATCATGCCTGGCCGGTTTTTACACTTTTTAATTTGGGGGGAAAAAAATCAAAAGAAAAGTATTTTGTAGCATTTTGTGACATGTGAATGTTATATAAACTTCAGGTTTTGGTATCCGTGAAGTTTTATGGGAACACAACCGTGCCCATTTGTTTACATATTGTCCGTGGCTAATAACAAGGGGGGCTTGGTGGCCCCTCATCCCCCGCTCCTCGTGGAGCTGCCCAGATGGCTCCAGAGCTTGCTGGGGTCACTGAGGGTCCCAGTGACTGGCCTGTGGTTCTGGTCAAAGGATCTGAGACTGTATGGCCTGCAAAGTCTAAAACATTTAGTATTTAGCCTTTTACAGAAAATGTTTGTCAACCCCTGGCATAAGTGCCTGACAATAGGTGGTCAGTAAAATGTATCCTGTTATTCGTATTATTATTACTGTTACTGTTATCCCTTTTGGCCTCATTTTAACTTTCAAATAATCACACTCATGGCTTAATGGAGAGATTCTAAACCTGAGGTCCATGGAAGGGTTTCAGGGGGCAGGGGGGTCTCTGAACCTCCGCAGTCTGGCAGATGGGGTCTTTTTTGGGGGGAGAGGCTCCATCCAACCCCTGGTTCTCAAAGGGGTTTGTGTCAACAAATAGGTAAAAAAAAAAAAAAAAAAAAAAAAAAAAGTGTAGGTTTGATCCTTCCTTGACCCAGGCAAATGGATCCACACTTTCCCTGGGCTGTCTGAAGGCCACATCCTTGAAGATGAGCTATTTGGGGGCCCACCCACTGCCTGTGTTGGAGGGGCCTGCAGCTCAACAGGAATGAGGACCCACAGCTTTGGAGCCAGCGGTCCCAGGCTGAGTCCAAACCTTGGCGGCCCCTAGCTGAACCCCTTCTCTGACCCTCGGTTTCCTTGTTGGGTTGCTGCAAAGATTAATTTGGTAATGTCTGTTGGTCACTTGGCACAGCGTCTGGTACACAATAGGTACTGCAGAGATGGTAGTGATTACTAATCTTATTGTCCTTGCACATTCAAAAGTGCTTTCCTCAGCTCACTCAGACCCAGGAAAAGCTGCCCCTGTATTTGGCTGAATTTGAGGTCTGAATACCCCTTAAGGGCCCTTAATCTTTATCTTTGGTACCAGCAAATAAGGCAAGTCCACTAAACATTCACGTGATCAATATGCAAAGAAGCATGACCCTCAGTGAAGTTTTTAAGAGTTCAGTGACCTCATTTGAACAGAGACAATGCTTTTAAGAGTGAAATAAACGGGATCTGCAGCTTCGCTATTGCAAAAGCCCTGGCTGTTTCCGAGTGGCTGGTGTTTCTCCCAGAGGGGTTACTCTGAAGCTCAAGCTTGGGTCTACTTTCCCCCTAAAACACTTCTTGTGGAGCCCCTTTTCCCAGCTCAGTCACCCAGAGCTAACAGGTTTATTCCAAAGCCCAGCAGCCACCACCGGGAGGGGACAGGGTGTCTTTGCAGACGGGCTGTCCTGGAGATGGGCGTCCTGCACAGACTGGTTCATGTTCAGCCTGGCAGGCACTGCCCGCCCCCAGTTGCTGGGCTTAGGCCCATTCAGCGGAGGCCTGGTGGCTCCAGACAACAGCTGGAGACCAGAAGTGAAGACTTCCAGCTACAAGCAAATGTTGCTGCTTCTTGAGATTGAAATATTCTATCCCTAAAGTGTCCCTTTCAGCTGAGCAAAAACAATCCCCCATCGGGACCCGACCTCGCCACAGAGGAACAAAAGCTTCCCAGTTCTCTGAGTCCCAGAGACTGTCTGCAGTTTCAGGCACGCATGGCCCAGAGGGGAAAGAAGATGGTCATGTGACTTCCAAGCCTGGAGACAAGGTCACCCTTGTCCAGTCCTATTCCCCTTCATGGGAAGAAGAGCCTTTGACTGCCTGACAAAGGATGGGGCTGGTGCTGCCGTGGGGCTGGCTCCCGGGTGGATTCTCCAATGTCTGTGTTTCTCAGGTTCTGGAGAACACAGGGCAAGGTCAGTGGTCCCCAGAGTCCACTCAAATGGGTGTGAGGGTCTCATCCTGGCTTCATTGTCCCATAATCCCAAAGTGGTTTTTTAGGTAGGACAGTTGCACATTCTGGCTGCATTTATTTATTTTTCTGTTGCAGCATAATTTGTCCCTAAGAAATTCACCAGCAAGGCCACCCCGTTTGTTTTCTACCAGCCATTTCCTGCCATTAAAAATATTTTCCTTCATGGAAGGAAAGAGCTTCTGGGAGAGAGAAGGAAAGCCCGGTGAAGAGAAACAGTCAAGCGAAGCTCACCTTTAAAGGAGCCATCCCAGGCCGGGCGCAGTGGCTCGCACCTGTAATCCCAGCACTTTGGGAGCGCGAGGCGGGCAGATCACCAGGTCAAGAGATCGAGACCAGCCTGTCAACACGGTGAAACCCTGTCTCTACTAAAAATACAAAAATTAGTCGGGCGTGGTGGGGGGCACCTGTAGTCCCAGCTAGTCAGGAGGCTGAGGCAGGAGAATCGCTTGAACCCAGGAGGCAGAGGTTGCAGTGAGTTGACATCGCACCACTGTACTCCAGCCTGGCAACAGAGCGAGACTCTGTCTCAAAAAAAAAAAAAAGGTGCCATTATGTTGCAACAGCCGCAACAGTGTTGGGGCTGGCTGCAGGGTGGAGGCAGAAGTTACCAGGGAGGGGACAGTGGTGAAATGAAGGGCGTGGACTCTGTGTCGAGGCAATGCTTCCAAGGATTCTGATGTGGTAGGTTTGCGGTGGGGCCCAGGAACCTGCAGTTTAACAGAGCACGTAGGGATTCCCAGGCAAGTGGTCAAATGCATCCCACCGAGAGCCACATCTGTGGTGGTAATATTCTTTAGCTGGACTGGCCTGTGCCCTCTTTTCTCAGAGAACCCTATCCTAGCAAAAACTGGCTAGACGAGGGAGACTTCACCTGGCCCAGCTTCTCCTGAGAATCTGGGACTGGACTCAAAGCCCCAGCAGTCTATGTGTGCCGGTCAGGTTAGAATCTTTGCTCGCCAAGCTCAGTGACTCACGCCTGTAATCCCAGCACTTTGGGAGGCCGAGGCGGGTGGATCACCTGAGGTCAAGAGTTTCAGACCATCCTGGCCAACGTGGTGAAACCCCATCTCTACTAAAAATACAAAAATTAGCTGGGTGTGGTGGCGGGTGCCTGTAATTCCAGCTACTCCAGGAGGCTGAGGCAGGAGAACCGCTTGAACCTGAGAGGCGGAGGTTGCAGTGAGCAGAGATTGCACCACCGTACTCCAGCCTGGGCAACGAGCAAAACTCCGTCTCAAAAAAAAAAAAAAAAAAAAAAAAAAAGCTTTGCCCATAGGTTATTTGGCTTCCAGGGGAGTCCTTGTCTCCTGTCCTACCCCTGCCCACCCTGGTCCTGCCAGGCACTCCCTCACTGCCTCAGTGCATCCCAGGACACTGTCCCCTATAGCCTTCTGAGGGGGGGCCCCAACACTCACCCTGAGGATGCCGCCTGTGCCCATGTTCCCTTGGGTTGTGCAGAGCCCTGTGCTCCTTGGGGGGGCTCAGGCTGTCTCTCCAACGCCTGCCGGACCGCTCTGCCTCAGTGTCCCACAGGGACCACAGTGGATTTAGCCCAAAAGGAACTCATCAGGTTTCCTCTCACACCTGGCACCTTTTCCATTCCTTATGCCAAAGAATGGCCCCTCTCTCTGCTCAGGCACCCATGTCAGGTACCCGAGCACCATCCCAGACACCTCCTCATTCTTAACCCCCACCTCTATTCTAGAATGAAAGGAACATCTACCTTTGATGGAAAACATACTGCAGGTAATAATAATTCATACAGCCCAATGCCTCACAAAGGCAGGTACTGTAACTGTCTCCATTTGACAGGTGAGAAAACAGGTACACAGGGCCGTGTTCCTTGCCCCAGGTCACATAGTGAATAGTGGAACTGGGATGTGAGCCTGAGCTGCCCACCCCATGCACGTGCCCCTGCTCCGGCGATGTGGTCAGCGTCTCTCTCCACGGCACTGGCGTGGGGGCCCAGGCATGCCCTCAGCATCTCCTGGTTGGGCCTGTAGAGTCTCCTGACTGGTTTCCTTGCCCTCGGTCTTACCCTGCTCAGATCTGTTTTCCCAGACGCAAGGAGAAACGCTTTCTAAACTGGGAATCTGATGTCACTCCTCCGCTGAAACCCTTCAAAGGCTCCCTGTTTTACTCTCACTGGCCTCACAGAGGATGAATGGAGGAAACTGAATCCTGGAGGGCTGACTCCAGGGCTGTGCTCCCAGCTACTGTCCCCCACGGCCTCTCCATGCCTCAGCTGTCTCATCTGCCAAAGAGGGAGAGTGGTACCCACGGCGAAGAGTTGTAGGATGTGCACAGTGTCTGCCAGTGGAGTGCCTGGCACAGAGTGGGCAGCTCATACATGGAGCTTCTATTAGCTTCTTTCCTTCCTAAGAAGGAAAGGGTGGGGCAAGAAGTGCGTGGAGAGGAGGAACTGGTTGCTCTGAGAGGCAAAGTCAGTTCCACCTGGGATAATAATTACAAAAGCACTTTAGATGCATTTTGTCAAAACATAACCTCCATAGCCTCCTGAGGAAGAGATTCCATTACCCTTTTCAGATGGGGAAGCTGAGGCTGAGGAGTCAAGGGACCAACCCCAGGCTGGCTCGAGCCCAGATTTCTCTGATGCAGAGCGCTGTGCTCTGCCCTGACCCTCCTTGGATGTGCGCTGCAGTGCAGTGGTTTTGGAGTACCTAATCTTTCCGATCTTACCAGCTGAAGGTCAGCTGTGGGTCAAAGCCGTGACAAGACTGGAAGAAATTTAGAGGCATTACTAGGAAAAAGCAACCAAAAGGTGAGGACTGGCACCCGAGGGAAGGAAGAATCCCACCACAGACACCCTCTGTTTGTCCCAAGGTCTCTGGGGAACCCCCGTAGAAATGACAGCGTAGGGCCCATCACTGTTTCTACAACAATGAGAATATTTATTTTTTCCAGAAAGTAAAAATAACATTTTTTCTCTTTTGTAAAAGTACCATTACATTCCATTTTCTTAAATAACAAAATCCTAAAAATATATATTAAATTGTATACAGTGCATCACACTTCATCTTATATTTTAAAATACATGATGTTTCTATTTTATTCTCAAAGTTGCATATTAAGAGCATATTTACAAATAAAGCCATGTCATCCAAAGTCAAAATCCCTGCTGGAAGGTGAGTTTGGATGTGGGAAGGTCTTGACGTGCATGAGCCCCATGATGGCAGCTCCCGTGCAGGCGGGGAAGGGCCCTCCAGGCTTCGTGTCTAAAGACCCTTCCTTTCTGAAGCAGATTTCCCTCTGACTTTCCTCCACACCTCACTTCTGCCTCTGTACTCAACTCAGCAAGACGGAAGCCTGTGAGATGTGCCCACCAGGGGTCTGCAGTCAGAGGGTGAAGCCCTGTCACCCCTGAGCCATCCAGCCTGTGGGGAGACAGCTGTGGCTGGAAGGCTTGAAAAACACCCCACACCAGGGAAGCTAAGCTGAGACCTGGCCAGGAGGTAGAACAGTGAGGAAGGTAAACAAAGACACCAGAGGAAACAATCCAAACTCCCAAGGTAGGAACAAAAGCCGACATCAAACACCACATGGGAGATCTGAGACCTAACTGTGCCAGGCGGTGGGGTGGGGAGCTGCCCAGCCCCGTGGGAGACCTGGCCTGGCCTCAGCAGACCAGGGAGGCAGGGTCTCGGAGGCCATCCGCATATAAGTGCTTGTGAAGAGTAAGCGTGCAGTGCCAGGATGCATCGGGGCTGGGTGATGGCCTGGCTGGGCTGCAGGCAGATCTTGAGCCTGGCCAGGAAGGCTCCTGCCTGGGCTGACAGTGGGGCATGTGGGTGGAGCCACACCCAGGCACTCCAGTGGGTTCTGCCTGAGGGCCAGGACAGCTGAACTTGCTAGTGCTTTGATCTCTGTGGGCTTCTGGCCGATTGGAGTCTTGAGCCGGAGCCCACTCTTCAGAAGTTAGAGCAGCCTGGTCTCCTCGCTCACGCCCAGAGAGGCCTCAAGCCTGTCCTGACGTGGGGGACAGGGTGGGTGAAGGCACTCGGGTTCATTCCTACTCATTCTCTGCTTTGCAAGCAACTGGACAAACGGGGAAGAACAGGGCACCGTGTGCCTCCCGCCTGCCTTCTCAGAAGGGCCAAGGACACTGAGAAACACTGCTAGAAACTAGGGGCCACAGCTGGCCAAGGCATAGTCACCACGGAGAGTGACAAGATCAGCTGGTGAGGGCCTCCTGTTGGCACATGTACCAAGAAGGCAGGGCCTGGCGCCAGCGGGGAACAGGGTGAGGATGGCACGCAGGCCCAGTGCCCCTGCAGCCTCCTCCCACGCTCTGTCACCTCAGGAGAGGCTTTGGCCAGGGTGCTTTCAGAACTCTGTCCACAGTGGTCCCCAAAGCCCCTCCCCTGCCTCTTCCACAGTCTTCTGCCATGCGTTCTGACGTTGACTTTCCCAGGGTTACCCTCTTCCCGCCACCTCCAACCCCCACTTTATCTCATCCAAGGGGTTTCCTCAAAGTTCAAGTGCCACCTCCTCCATGCTCCTGGAAGCCCACGTCATCTCTTCTGGAACAGTTTATTTCTCAGGTGTTTACTTAGCTGCAGTGGCCTTCTGTGGGCTGTCGCTGACTTTCTAAGTGGTTCTAACTGAGCCCATAGCCAGGCTCCGCAGGACCCAGCACCCATGGAGGCTTAGCCTGGGATGATTTACAGCCCTCCTGCCCCTACGCTGTCCTGAGCCAGGTTTGGGTTTCCCGGGGCTGTTCCACGGATTGTAAGTTGATCCTAGAGGCACTGGGCCATGCCAGGGCCAGGCAGGAGGAGAAGCGCTGGGGCATCCCCGGCACCTCCCAGGCCCTCCAAGGAAGTACTGCCCCCACTGCAGGCTCTGACAGCACATTGGCCTGGGCATGGCCTCCCCTGACTGAGATGTGAGGAGGGCAAGGTGGGCATTTGGGCTGTAGGACACCCCAGAGGCCAGTGGTCAGTGTCAGCCCCAGGCAACTGAACAACTGCCCCCTGGCTGGGTGAACTCTTCCTGGGGCCACATGCCACATTCCCTTTGTGCTGCACATGGCTCTATTCACAGCACAGGGCCTGCTGGGATGACACACACCTGACACTTGTGTTTGAGATTCCACAATCAGTGTGAATAGCTTGGAGGGGAGACTGCACGTGTCGATATGTTTCCAGCGGTCCTCCTGTGTGACGGGCCTCTTGGAGACAGAGGCTTGCGGACAGCTGCTCTTTCCAGATCAAAGCATGAAGCCTGCACCGGGCAGCTCTGTGCCCTCAGCTGGCCTCCCACGGGACCTGGGGTGGCAGTCCTGACCCTGTCTGCCTGTGACACATTGCTCCATTTCCCTCCTCTGAAGGCCCCTTTGCCTGAAGCTCTGAGCACCTCTCCTGCACTCAGGCTGCCGAGTGTCACCTCTCCCTGCAGACACTTCCCGTGTGGCCCTCTTTCCTCCCAGGGGTGGCAGGTGCAGCGGTGTTGCCAGAACCTCAGTAGGAGCCCCAGCAGGCAGTGGCTCAGGGCTTGGGGGAGGTAGGCAAAGTGCTGCAAAGAGGAAACGCCAAGGCCAGAGGTGCAACAATCACCCAGGCCCGAGTGCCTTGGGGAGAGGCACGCTCTGACGAGGGCCTAGAAGGCCAGCAGAGGCACAGTCCGCTTTTCTCAGCTGCTGTTGACAAAGCCTGCTTCCAGATGGCAAGGACTTTTAAATTAGCGATGGCACTTACCTCCCAACCAGCAGCCACTACAGCTGCAGCTCTGAATCTTAGGAGGAGCTCCTTGGAGGAGCTCCAATTCCCAAACCCACCCTCTCCTCGCACCAATCTCTGCAGCCCACCTCCCTATCTAAGGGACAGGGTGACATGGGACTGGGGACAAGAGCCCTCTCCTTCCCCACTAAGCCATTCCTAACCCCACATGGTCCCCACAGGAGGGGCAGAGAGCACGGATGGCTCTTGGGGTGTTTTTTATCTTTTAACACAGGGGACGCCAGAAGGAAGGACCACAGGCCCCATGTCTCATGTAGTGCTGCCTAAAGGCAAAAACACAAGATTGATACTCTCTGCTCTGAACTGAGAGTTAGCTGAGCCAATCATAGAGAGACCGAGGCCTGGCTCAGGTTCCATAGGACCACGAGCTGCTCAGGGGCAAGGCTGATAAATCTAATCCTGAGTGCCCATAAAAGCTTGCAGGAGAATTTGTTCCATGAGTAAATGAATGGGTGTTTTTTGTTTATTTGTTTTTTGTTTTTTTTGAGACAGAGTCTCACTCTTGACGCCCAGGCTGGAGTGCAGTGGTGCGATCTTGGCTCACTGCAACCTCCGCCTCCCGGGTTCAAGCTATTCTTGTGCCTCAGCCTTCTGAGTAGCTGGGATTACTACTCAGTGATCCCAGGTGGCTCCTACCACCATGCCTGGCCAATTTTTTTTTTTTTTTTTTTGAGACGGAGTCTCGCTCTGTCGTCCAGGCTAGAGTGCAGTGGTGCAATCTCGGCTCACTGCAAGCTTGGCCTCCCAGGTTCACGCCATTCTCCTGCTGCAGCCTCCCAAGTAGCTGGGACTACAGGCACCTGCCACCAAGCCCTGCTAATTTTTTGTATTTTTAGTAGAGACGGGGTTTCACTGTGTTAGCTATGATGGTCTCGATCTCCTGACCTCGTGATCCGCCCGTCTCGGCCTCCCAAAGTGCTGGGATTACAGGCGTGAGCCACCACGCCCAGCCGCGCCTGGCTAATTTTTATACTTTTAGTAGAGATGGGGTTTCACCATGTTGGCCAGGCTGGTCTCGAACTCCTGACCTTAGGTGATCTGCCCGCCTCAGCCTCCCAAAGTGCTGGGATTACAGGCATAATCCTGTTGTGCCCGGCCAAATGGATGTTTTATATGACCAAAGCTCTTCAAGCTTTCCCTGCAGCTCCATGAGCTATGGAAAGAAGAATCTAGAAAGAAGCCCATGTGTAAAGTATCAGGTTTGATATAAATGGGGGTCACTAGATCTTATTCTCAGACCCTCCCAGGCTGGAGGAGGCCCATCCTAGTCCAGCATCTGGAGAGCAAAGTTGCCAGGGCAGCACAGACACCACCCTCTTTACACCTCACTAATGTGCAGGAGTCCACACTTGCATGGGACCAGACCAACTCCCAAGAGTACCTGAGAGTTCTCCCTGTCTGGCCCTGTTCCAAGCCATAAAGACCAGGAGAAGAGAAGAAGCAAGAAAAATTCAATGTAACTAAACCTACCCACCACCTGACAGCCATCTAGAATGTACCTGAGCCCGGTGCCAGCCATGACCACCTCTGTCATTTCAGCCTCACTGTCCTGACACCTCCACTGCTAGCTAGATCAGAGAGAGAGATGCAGAGAGGGCTGGGCCCCAGGGCCTTGAGTCTCTCTCCTAAGTGCAACCGATGAAGCAGGAGGAATCCAGGCTGTGCCTGCCCTGGCAGCAGGGTGCCTCTTCCTAGTTTGTAGGAGGGCGCCCCCGAAGAGGCCAAGGCAGAGGGAGAGGCAGGGAAGAGTCTGTCAGAGAAGAACCACAGGAGGGGTTGACCCCAGCAGCCTTGAGCTCAAAGAGGGCCCTCGAATCCTAGGCACAGCAGGGTTTTTAGTCACTCACAAGAGGATTGCGGTCATCTTGTTGACTCTGACCCTTGAGTTTCTTCTTAAAGATGGAAATCGAAGTGGAAGGCTTGTAAAAAATGCTCCAGATTTCCCCCGAAGTCCCTGGTTGATGACAATCCCTAAGGTCCCCTGAAGCAGGAACACGATGGGATCTGTCAAGCAGATAAATAATTTTTCCAATAGATTAGAACAAAGCACTCCAAACAACCTACCATCTCATGAGATACTGTATCTAGGAAATGGGGTGGGGCAAGGTCTGGGAAGGACCTCACAGCCACCTCTAAAGATCTGAAGGACTAGTGTGCAGCTGAAATGAGACCAAGTGCAGCAGGGCAGCGTCCACATCAGAATAACAAAGAACTTTCTAACTAGCGGAATTCTTCGAATCTGGAAAAGCCCAGCCTGAGAGAATATGATTTTTCAAATTCTTTTATTTTAAATAAAAGAACTATCTTCAAATGCCATTCACCTGGAAGCCCACTTAGCTAAAACAAGATAAACGCAAAACTTCTCTGCTTCAAGCAGAGATCCGTCTAGCCTCCGGTGCTGGCCCAGACTCTGTTCAGTCCTGGCAGCTGCCTGGCAGGGAAGCTGCAGCTGATGTCAGAGGAGAGTTAGGCATGCACTTTAAGGCCTCAGCCATGCTGTCAGATGCTGGATGCTATAGGAAGCATCGGGCTTTCTTGCTGCCACAGGGGATGTGGTCAGGACTGAGCCTGAGAGGCTTCCCCAGAACATGTGAATTGTGACTTTAAAACACACAGACACACACACACAGACACACACACACACGTGGACACAGACACACAGACACACACACACACACACACACGAGGACATTATTTCCACTGAAAAATTTCAAGTGTAGAGTGGAGGTGTCTATGTAAAGTGGTTCCAATGTGGCCAAAGGCAGCCTTCACAAGGCAATAGAAGAGCTCGCGTTGAATGTATGAGAAGTCTGTAGCACAGGGCAAGTGAGACGGTCAGGAAAAAGACAGCTTTTAGTGGACATACATACATTTTCAGGGAGGCTGTGAAATGAGAAGAGCCTCGACTAGAAACCACCGGAAAGACAGAGTAGGGGTCTAGGAAAAATTAGAACAAGCTCCCCTCTAAGTACACAAACATCAGTAGCATGAACAATTGCCCCTTTCCTGGAAGGCGCAACTGTTAGACTTGAGTAGCAAAATAAGGGAAGGAAATATATTTTCCCCCAAATTGGTCAGAATTGAATGATAAAGCTTCCATAAGTTTCTTCAATAACTGTTTTAAAATAACTACTAAGCAATAGTGAATAAAATGTGAGAATTCTCTTCCTAAGGATGTTTCTCAATTTCTAGAAGGCATCAGAAAGTATGCACCGCATCGTCCTAGCTATCTTCAATCCTGCATAAAGATCTCCATAAGGGACTAGCACATTTGCTTTTTAAGCCAGGAATGTTGCAATCCTCCTTGAAATTGTATGCTTTGGACACAGCAAACAAAATCCCTCAAACCTTAATGAGATTTGTCCAGTTGTACATTTCACTCTACAGAGAAGGGGTATGTCTGCTGCCTTCCATTCCCTAGGACTGAGGGCCTTGGAATCATCTGCTGATTCTACAGTTGTACCCAGACAAATGAAGCATCATAGAAAACCAACTCTGAGCCTTCCCTTTCCTGGAATCGGGCAGCTCCCTCTTGTACTCACTTGAATGTGACGTGCAGAAGTATCTTTGCTACAATGGCTGTGACTGTGAGGATGAGGAGAGTTGCCAGACCATAGACTGTCCATCCTGCAAATGCAAAAGATAGAGCTTACTAGGCTTGTTTGTGGCTGGTTTCCGAAAGGAAGTCAGCTATAGAATACCCAAGTGAGTAAGTCTGACTGAGGGGCTCCCTGCAGGCCGGTGTGGGAGGGCAGTCAGCAAACCCAGCCTCAGGAGCAGCTGAGACCCAGGCTAAGCATGGGGCCCCAGGTGTTCTGAATACTTCCCTTTGTTCTACAAGTCACTCTCAGGGAGAGGCAGGCAGGATGATCCAAAGTCTACTGGACTCAGAATCTAAAGGGATGACATGCATTTTGTCTCTGCCACTGGGACCACTGTGCAACCACAGGTGGAGTTATGTAAACTCTTTGGGCCTCAGTTTCCTCATCCGAGGAATGAGATGTGGCCTATGAGATGCTACTGAGATCCATAGCCAAATGACACACAGGAAGTGCTGGACAGGCCCTTCTCCCTAACCTTCTATGGTGGGTCCTGCAGGGGCCCCCGGGCAGTTTGAAAGCCTCCAGGCTCGGTCACTACTGAGGGTACTTTCCAGTTCTACCAGCTCATAAAAGCATCACTTCCTTGGCTCACTGCATCCTCAAGCTCCTGGGCTCAAGCAATTCTTCTGCCTCAGCCTCCTGAGTAGCTGAGACTATAGGCATGTGCCACTATGCCCAGCTAATTTTTCTATTCTTTTCTTTTCTTTTTGAGACAGGGTCTCATTCTGTCACCCAGGTTGGAGTGTAATGGTGCAATCATAGCTCACTGCATTCTTGAACCCCCGGGCTCAAGCCATCCTCCCACCTCAGCCTCCTAAGTAGCTGGGACCACAAGTGTGCACCACCACACCCAGATAATTTTTTTATTTTTTGTAGAGAAAGGGTCTCCCTATGTTGCTCAGGCTAGTCTCAAACTCCTGGCCTCAAGCCATCCTCCTGCCTCAGCCTCCCAAAGTGCTGGGATTACAGGCGTGAGCCACTGCACCTGGTCCTGCATGACTTTTCTTCATAGCTCTTATAATTATCTGATTTTTATTTTGCTTTCTTTCTCCTCTCATTTATATGTCACAGAAGGGCAGGGATTGTGTTTGGTTCACTCTATAATCCCGTACCTAGCATAGTGCCTGGCACCACTGAAGTACTTATATATCTTTTGAATGAATGAGTCAGTGAGTGAATGAATGGAGTTCTTGGAAATGCCAATAAATTTAGGGAGTTTCAATGTGGGGCTCTAGAAAGATAATCTTAACGTGGGAAAATACGGGATTAGCTGATTAGTCACAATGCACAAAAGGCATACTTGCCTAATCTTTGGAGGTGAGCACTTTTCCCTCAGGACTAAGGAACCAATTAATAAGAAAATTTCCCTCAAAAGCCAGGACAGACTATAGGTCACAGAGTCAATGTCCCAACCTGCCTCTGAATAAGAAACACCCAAGTGCTTTTGTCTTTATAACTGTCAAGAGCGCTACCTTCAACTCTGTGGCTTCCAGCCCCCATGGGTGGCGCCCAGGAATTGCTACCTGGGACAGTCTGAGGTGGGTGGCTGGGGCTGGTGGTGATGACATAGAGGACTTTGGAGGACCGGGCAGCGCTGACACTGAGGTTGGCCTGCTCTGTGATCACCTCGGCCACTGTCTGGTTGACAGCGGGCCTCTCCTGTGGCAGTTCCTCCTTGACGGCTGGAAGAGAAAAAGCAATTAACTGGGGCCAGGGCTATGGAGACTCAGAGCTGAGCGGGGGAGAGCACGAGTTATGAAGAACAAGCCTTCTGCTCTATTCAATTCTGGTGCAGTTCCTTCCATGGGCAGGTCCCTGCCATTAGATCTACTAAAATAGCCACACTGACAGGTTTTCACCTCTTTTCTGTCTCATGAAATATAAATGAGTTATGAAATGGGGGTCGGGAAGGAGCCACAGCCTCGGGATGATCTGCAAGTTGAGTCAGTAGTTCCTGAGTCCCAATCTGCCCCGCAAGAACCGCCCAAGTCACAAGGGTAAAGAAGAGAAGCCCGAGGCACATGGGCCCTAAAGAGCCCCCAAGGAGGCAAGGATGTCTTACCTTGGTATAAAACAGCAAATCCCTGGGCCTGATTGATGCGATCAGAGAAGAAATACAAGATGACGAAGTCCAGAGAGACGTTGAAGGACAGAGGTGGGCGGTTCCTCCCGTGGAAGCGGGCTAGGACACGGTGGGTGTAGCCATCCAGAAGCTCCACCATGTCCGCCGAGTCCCTGATGTCAAATAGGGGGAAGCTGAAGTGGATGCGGGAGGCCCCCGGAACCCGGATGGTCCAGTAGCAGACCCTCCCCGTGGCATAGGTGTCGGGGAAGTCAGGGGAATAGACCACAGAAGACATGGCTGAGTAGTTCCCGCCGCAGGCGCCGACCAGAGCTGTAGGAGAGAAAAAGACACCACGCCCTCAGTCTGGGCCTCTGCCACAGGCACGCTTCCAACACCAAGGCTCTAAAGGCTTCCTAACGAGCAGGATCCCATTTAGGACACTGTTTCTATCTGTAAAACCAGACAGTCTTATGTTTCAGGATCGAGTCACAAAATGAATCGCTGAGACTCTGGACAAATGACTGTGGAGATGTTTTTCCCCCCAGAGACCTTAGAATTAGCACACAGCACAGTGGTGTGGCCTAGGTTGGGGCTGGGCTGGAGTCAGAGAGTCTGGACTTGGGACTGGCAGGGCCAAGTGATGGCAGGGGCTGCACGTCACTCGCGGGCCTCTTGCTTCTCTCAGTTTCAAGGCTGGAGAGAGCACCACCTGCTCCTGTATCACAGGAATGTGCGACGGCACATGAGACAAAGCACACAAACCACTGGGGCCTCTCTGCAGGGGAGCCACCCGATGAGGTAAAGTCGTCAAAAGAGAAAGGCTTTACAGTTGCTCGTGTGTCCCCAGTATCCTTGCAACGCTCCCATGAGGGACCACGTTTTCAAGCAGAAAAACTGAAGCACAAGAAATGACTTTCTGCAGTGAGGAAACATGCTAGATTCTAAGCACTCTGTACTGAGCACATTTGATTTCTCTGGACTCCTGTTTTTGATAGGCAGGTTCTAGAAAGGGTATGCAGTGGTTTCCTGTCTTACATGGTGAAATGTAAACAAGATCTTAGAACTGAAACTCCTTGGGAGGGAGTGTAGGGCTAGGAATTTTTTTTTTTTAAGATGGAGTCTCGCTCTGTTGCCCAGGCTAGAGTGCAGTGGCATGATCTCGGGTCACTACAAGCTTCGCCTCCCAGGTTCATGCCATTCTTCTGCCTCAGCCTCCCAAGTAGCTGGGACTACAGGTGCCCACTACCAGGCCAGCTAATTTTGTTTTTGTATTTTTAGTAGAGACAGGGTTTTACCATGTTAGCCAGGATGGTCTCGATCTCCTGACCTCGTGATCCGCCCGCCTCGGACTCCCAAAGTGCTGGGATTACAGGCATGGGCCACCGTGCCCAGTCAGGGCTAGGATTTAAAAAGCAGGCTTTGGGGGAGTTCTGGTTCCCTTTAGGATGTAGAAAACAGCAAGCAGGCCGGGTGCGGTGGCTCACGCCTGTAATCCCAACACTTTGGGAGGCCGAGGCAGGTGGATCACCTGAGGTCAGGAGTTAAAGATCAGCCTGACCAATATGGTGAAACTCCATCTCTACGAAAAATACAAAAATTAGCTGAGTTTGGTGGCGTGTGACTATAGTCCCAACTACTAGGGAGGCTGAGCCAGGAGAATTGCTTGAACCCGGGAGGCGGAGGTTGCAGTGAGCTGAGATTGAGCCACTGCACTCCAGCCTGGGCAACAGAGCAAGACTCCATCTCAAAACAACAACAACAACAACAACAAGAGAATGCTGCTTCCATCCTAACAATGAGAAAAAGCTTAAAACTCAGCTGAGGTCTCATGACAACCAGGGGAACTTAATTCTACAAAGTCAAAGCCCCACCAAGGAGAGTCAGGCCACACAAATAGTTTCATCTTTGAGAGAACACAGGAGGAAGAGGTGACTGCCAGAGAAGTAACAAGAAAGCACTAAAATCTTAACAAACTCTTAAAGGCTGAGAGTGGGCTAGTGTCTTAGCTTAGGGCAACTGGGCATCCCAGACACAACGGGCATTTTGCCCTCACTTGCGAGCTTTTCTGCACAGACCTCTACTCAGTGCTTTCACAAGTGACTTAGGTTGGCCAGCAGACCATAGTCCCCCTGAGTGGCACAAGTGTGCAGGAGGTGACAGGCTGCCACTGGGGGACAGGCATGAAAGACTGCCCACTTCCTTCTCTTTGCACTTGCAGGAGGGGACTCTCCTCTCTAAGAAAGTAAAAGCCTTCGGCCGCTGGGAGAGGGGAAGCAAATCCTGTTACTCCCAGGGCCACTGAAAACGGGCAGAAGCAAAATCTGTTTGCCTCTGGGGGAGGGAGTAGACCTGATTTGACTAGAAAAGTCTATACCAAACACCATTTCACAAACCCAAATTTCAGTCTCCTTGAAATTCTCCTTCCTGTCAAAGTAACCAGGTGAAGATCCACTGCTTCTGGGGGAAGCGCAGAAGCAAAAGCCATTGGTCCCTGGTTGCCTTGAGCCCTCTTAAGCCCAGGATCCTGCAGCCAATGCAAAGCAGAGCTCTACTACTCCTGGAGGGAAGGCAAGAAATTATCTTTCCCAAGATCCACCACAGACGCAAGCAGTGTTTGGCTGCCAGGGAGAGAAGAAGGGTGTGGGAATGCTGAAAAGACCTCAGGCCGGTGGCCTTTTCACATCCTGTCTAAGACTGAGGACAGGGCAGGAGAACCAAGAACCACTCCCATGACCTCATCATGAGTAGAGCCAGGTAACAAGCAGCCATAGCCTACCACTGAGGGAGGGAAAGAGGATGGAAAAAGAGCCCGTCTGCAGCACAGGCATGTAGGAACTCCTCAAAGCTGAGGATGGAACAGGACTACTGAGGAAAACTCATGGGTACCCTAGGCTCCACACTAAGCACAAGCTGATAGCAACCCATTGCTGGAGGAGTTTAAAGCCTGATGTGCATTGAGGGTAGTGAGAGAAACAACCCAGTTCAACTTCTGACAGACTGGCTCAGTCCCTACACTATGCAGATCTGCCCAGGTGTAAACACTATCTCAGCCTCTTCTATACATAGTGTATGGCATTCAATAAAAAATTACAATCCACATATAAAAGCAAGGGTGGCAGGGGGGAAAAACATGGTTAAGAGATAAAACAATCTACAGAACTAGACTCAGTGATGACCCAGATGCTAGAACTATCAGACAGAGACTACATGATGAATACAGTAAATAATCTACTGGAAGTGAGGCATGGTGACTTATGCCTGTAATCCCAACACTATGAGAGGCCAAGGGAGGAGGATCTCTCGAGGCTAGGAGTTCAAAACCAGCCTGAGGAACACAGTGAGACCCCATCTCTACAAAAATTTTAAAATTAGCCAGGCATGGTGGTGTGTGCCTGTAGTCCCAGCTACTCAGGATTCTGAAGCAGAAGGACCACTTGAGCCCAGGAGGTCAAGACTGCAGAGAGCTATGATTGCACCATTGCACTCCAGCCTGGGTGGCAGAGTGAGACCTTGTCTCTTAAAAAAAATAAAAATAAAAATAAAACTACTGGAAATAAAACAATATCAGAGATGAATTTTTTAAAATTATAGAATGCGTCATGAATTTGCATGTCATCCTTGCACAGGGGCCATGCTAATCTACTCTGTTTTTTTCCAATTTTAGTATATATGCTGCTGAGGCAAGCACTGAAGAATTCCTTTGATAGGCTTATCAGGAGACTAGACACAGCTGAAGAAAGAATCAATAAACTTGAAGACAGGTCAATAGAAATTATCCCCAAATGAAACAAAGGGGAAAACAAAGAGAACAGAGCACCCAACAGCTGTAGGACAATATCAAATGGTCTAACATATGTGTAACTGGAATGCCAAAAGAATAAAAAAAGAATATAGAAGAAATGTTTGAAGAGATAATGGTGAAAAATGTTCCAAAATCAATAAAAGGTGACAAACTACAGATCCAAGAATCTTAGCAAACCCAAGCAAACAAACAAAATATTAAAAACAAAAACAAAAGCAAAACAAAAACCAAAACAAAAAAACAAACCAACACACAAAGAAGACACATCATAGTTAAATGTTGAAAACCAGTCTGGGTATGGCGGCTTATGCCTGTAATCCCAGCACTTTGGGAGGTCAAGGTAGGAGGATTGCTTGAGCCCAGGAGTTCAAGACCAGTCTGGGTAACATAGTGAGACCCTGTCTCTACACAAAATTAAAAACTTAGCTGGATATGGTGGCACATGCCCATAGTCCCAGCTACTCAGGAGGCTAAGGCAGGATTGCTTAAGCCCAGGGGGTCGAGGCTACAGTGGGCCATGACTGCACTACTGCACTCTAGCCTGGGTGACACAGTAAGACCCTGTCTCAAAAAAAAAAAAAAAAAAAAAAAGTTGAAAACCAAAAAGATAAAATCTTGAAGGCAGGCAAGGAAGAGGAAAAGATTACATACAGGGGAATAAAGATAGAGCATACACCTCTAGAAACCATACAAGTCACAAGAATATGGAGCAATATCTTTGAAGTACTGAAAGAAAAAAGCTGTCAGCACAGAAATCAATACCCAGCAAAAATTACTCTCAAAAATGAAGGTGAAATAAAGCTTTTTCAAACAAAAGCAGAAAGAAGCCATTGACAGTCAACCTGTACTAGAGAAAATGCTAAAGGAATTTCTTTAGGGGAAAGGAATATACCAGATGGCAAATAAGAATATGAAAAGATGTTCAATATGATTGGTAATTAGAGAAATGCAAATTAAAACCACAATGAGATACTACTACATACCTACTAGAATGGATCACATTTAAAAATCAGATCATACAAAAGTATCTGTAGGTGGAGAGAATGTGGAGCAAATGAAAATCTCACATATTGTTGGTCAGAATGCAAAATGGCACATCCACTTTGGAAAATAGTTGGCAGTGACTCATAATGCTAAATATGCAATTAGCACATGACCCAGCAATCCCACTCCTAGGTAGGTACCCAAGAGAAATGGCAACGTATGTCCACATAAGCACCTGTACTTGGATGTTTACAACAGCTTTATCATAGACAGACCAATGTTTGTCAATTGGTGAATGGATGAACAGACTGTAATACATCCGTACAAAGGAATGCTTCTTAGCAATAAAAAGGAAAAAATTACTGATACAGGCAACAACATAGGTGAATGATAAAGCATTATTCTAAGTGAAAGAAGCCAGACACAAATGGTTAAGTACTGTGATTCCATTTATATAATATTCTGCAAAACACAAACTATATATATATACATACTATATATATATATAACTATATACTTGCCCAGGATAGACCCGGGCAAGCTC